CTTACCTAGCAAAATTTTATAAATGACCTAAACCTAACCTCAATTGCGAAGCGGCCGAAGGCCGCCGAGCTAACAAACAAACTAAAATTGAGAAATTTTAGTAAATAAAATAACTTTAATCCAAACTGCAAGGCGGCCAAAAGCCACCGAGCTAAAGAGTAAACTCCAGCTAAAAGAGTTTAGTGACTAACATAACTTTAACAACAATTGTTATTAATAGGCGAAAAGCGAATACAAGAACATTTTTAGTAAAGTGAAGTAACTAAAATAACTTTTCCTCTAACTTTTCAAAATTGTTGTAAACCGCTCAAATGAGGCATTCAGTTGATAAAGTTGCATTGTAGAAACTGAAAATTATCAAATGCGCAACTGACATCTGTTGTTGCTAAAAATTCTCAAAACTTTCATTATAAAAGACTGGGTGAAGTTCTACTAAAAAGTTTTGGGAACTGTCATCAAAATATGATGCAAATTTTAGTACTTAACAATAACTTCACTTGTAGTGACTACAAAAAATAAACACTACACTTTATTAGCTTGAGATGATTTCAATGATATTTTTTTCACAACTTTATCAATTGAAACCCTCTCATATGATTGAAATTTTACAAATGCTTTGCAATTATAATTAGAGTTATGTTAGTCACTAAACTCTTTTAGCTGGAGTTTACTCTTTAGCTCGGTGGCTTTCGGCCGCCTTGCAGTTTGGATTAAAGTTATTTTATTTACTAAACATCCTCACTTTTAGTTTGTTTGTTAGCTCGGCGGCCTTCGGCCGCCTCGCAATTGAGGTTAGGTTTAGGTCATTTTTAAAATTTTGCTAAATAAGAGCATTCAAAAATTAAAGGNTAGTCACTAAACTCTTTTAGCTGGAGTTTACTCTTTAGCTCGGTGGCTTTCGGCCGCCTTGCAGTTTGGATTAAAGTTATTTTATTTACTAAACATCCTCACNCCCGGATTGAAGAGCAGCTAAAGGAAACATCTCAGTGATGCGGGCACCAAGAAAAGCAGACGAAAGAGTGACAATAATATTGAATAAGCCTTTTTCTAAATTATTTACAGTATTATTAATACTATTAAGGCTCCTTTAGCCATTTTAAGTTGAGTTCATCTTTTACGTACAAGTCTCTTTAGAAATTATTTAATTTGTTTAACGATACAATAAAGTTTACTTTAAAACCTCCTACACTGTTTGTATTTGAAGATAATGGCATTGGACTGAATTTAAACNGGTCAAATATCTTACATTTGGTTACTTTTTCAAAAAAGTATTTTTTCATAAAAAACGATTTTCCACGGTTCGGGTGGTTTACTGTTAGTTACAATTTTATTTTGTTAAAATTACTCTTTTATACAAAAACTAAAACTTCCGTCATTAGAAACATGTTTGTCAATGTTATTTCGAGACAGTTTGTTTTAAAATTTTCTAATTTTAAGATCTAGCTCACTCCATCTAGTGGTGGAAAACCCGGTTTTGTTGGGTCATTAAAGATTCTGTCACATTTTCTAGCTCTGATGTTTTCTAAGTGCTGTCCCGAAAACAAGTGGCTGCAAAAATGTGCTTATGTGCAAAATCTTTATTAGCCAAGTTCATGACGGTCTAAAGAATTCTCGCGCACAAAAGTTTACTGTCCCAACCCCAATCGAGTTTTTGGTGAAACTCAACAGTTCTGTAAAAGTCTATCAAGTTTATTTTGTGAATAGAATTGTCGAACGGTCAACAAAGACAATAAAGTGTTTTATAAGTCAATGATATTCTAGTGACGGAACATAACAAAAAGTAAGGGGCGTTGGCATACATGCATTGTATCAGTGTGCGTCCACATTTAAAAAATGAAGCCTGGAAGAGTTTTTTCACATACTGATCAAGCGAAAAATGAATGGTCAAAAAATTGCATCAATTTTACAGGCGTTGATAAATAAATATCCAGAGAGAAGTTATGAGTGGGTGAGGAAGGTGAGTGTGAGGGTGAGGGCGAGGGTGATGGTGAAAATGAACAGTGCCAAGTGCAAAGGTGCCACGAGGTAAATGAAAAGGACGGTGATGAAGATATTGCTGGTAGCTGGGTAATTGGAAGATTGACTAAGGTTGGACAGAAGGAAGAACTGAGGAAAAAGTGGACATTAGTACGTCGCATCAGTAGACGCACTGTTCAGATTGTGCTTTGCTTCTACTTTGAAAATCCTGTTCAAACTGGAAGATTAACTCTTCAGAGTCACTGTTGTGAATGGACAAGTTGGAGATGATTTCCTCCACATCGGCAGGTAATCGAAGCAGAGAAAGGTCGGAAAAGTCTGTAATGAAGATTTGAATGTTAGCATTTTTTAGAGAACATAAAGCTGCTTACTAACCGAATTTAGCAAAAAATGTTGGCGACAAGGGTAGGGAGCTTTTGAGATCGAGACTTTCTAGGTTGCCGGACAGTTTCAGTTGTAGATTCGGCTTGGGCTTGGGCGCCTTGACCAGACCGGCAGGAATGGCTGGTGAACTCATTCGCCGAAAGGATCGTTGTGGTGGTGCCAAGCGGGACATACCCATTGAGCCAAACAGGTCCTGCTTGCTGGGAAGTTCACAGAGACAGTCAGTCTCATTCTGCGACAAATCGCTGGCATTGTCATCATCCGAGCTGTAACTCCTCGTCTCTACTGAGTCAGTGCCACTGACGGTGACGGCAATGCAGTCCTCAGGGCCACCGTCAACTCCGGTGATCATATCAACGTTAATTTGAATTTCCGGCCCTGAGAGGCTGCCCTCCTCACAGTTGAGGTCTACCGGAGAGACGCTGAAGCGACCCGACTTGACCGGTCTTTCCCAGGAGCCTAAACTAGCCGTGCGCATGAGGACTGGTTTCTTGCTGGCGCCTGGGCCCACTTGATTTTCCTCCTCCGTCTCTTCATTTGGTCCACCTTCCGAGTTATCACAGTAAAATGGACTGGAACTATCATCATTACTGTAGTTGAAGTTGTTGTTGCTGTCATTGAGTGCACTGGCATTGTTCATCTCAATTTCACTGTACACAGAAATGTCGCTTCTCAGGTGCTACAAGTGAAAACAATCATAGTTAGCATTTCTATTAGAAACAACAACAGCTCGGTCAACTTACTCCACTGAGAATTTCGTCCAACTCGTCAAACTTTGCTTCTGATTTGTTACGATCACAGAGCGCGTCAACCTCCTCTAGGAGCTCTTCAGTGTCAGCACTGGGCTTTGATCCATCGCTCGGTGGGTAGGTCGATTGTGGACAAAGAACCAACTTGGTGACGCCGCCAACTTTGCTCTTGAGTGCTTGACTAATGGACACAAAACCATCGTGTGTTATGTCATTATTGCTGAGGTCGATTATGGATAAGCTTGAGCTGTGACTAATTACGTCGGCAATAGCATTGGAGCCTGAATATGAGTTATAAGGATAATTATTTTAGATTGATTGAAACAGTCAATCAAAACGCAAGTACTCACCTTCTGAAGTAATGCTTGTATTTGAGAGATTGAGGTATTTGAGCGTTTTGCACTGCTGCAAACCTTCTTTGAGAATAATGACTCCATCATCTCCAAGTGCGTTGTTAGACAGGTCAAGACCAATGAGAGAGCGACATTGAGACTGGAAGGAAAATAAATTGTACCTTGAAATGTACCAAGAAAAGCAACTTACCAAAGTTTGAGCCAAACGACTCATTGCCCGACTGCTCAGCTGGTTATCACTCAAATTGAGGATGAGGATGCCCGCGTTTTGCGAAAGAGGATGCTTATTTTCATGACCGAAAATGTCAAACAAAGAACTTGAAGATGGCTGGTGAGCGAGTCCTTCGCAGATGTGATCCAGGCCAATGTCCTGAATAAAGTTACTTCGCAGATCGAGCACGTTGAGAAAGCCATTGCCTCGCAAAAGGTTGCCCAACTGGACGCAGTCTGCTGAACAGATTTTATTTTCTCCCAAATAAAGCTCTCGCAAACTGGTGTTAAACTTGATGGAGGAAACCAGAATTGCCAGACGACGGCTAAAAAGACCGGCATTTTCTAAATGCAGTGTAACCAAATGCGAGCCAACGCGAATAGTTCGTCCCATGATAAGCAAAATTTGCTCATTCAATCCGGTATTGCTTAAATCGAGGTACTGCAAACAAGCTGTCTAGAAGAGCAAAACGGAACATTGGTTAACATTTGAAAAAACCGAGATTGGCAGAGATTGAAGAGTACCTTTTTGAGAGTGCGACACAACGACTGCCAGCCCATTACACCGATGGTTGTGTTATTGGCGATGGACAGGTGANAACGGAACATTGGTTAACATTTGAAAAAACCGAGATTGGCAGAGATTGAAGAGTACCTTTTTGAGAGTGCGACACAACGACTGCCAGCCCATTACACCGATGGTTGTGTTATTGGCGATGGACAGGTGAGATGCCGATTCGTAGAACTCGATCATGTCAAAAAGAGCGGAAGCGCCCTAGGGACGAAAGAAAAACAACAGTTTGCAATTAGTACAGTACATTTGAAGCCAACGGAGGCATCAGCACTGTCTGCCGGAAAGACTTACGTCACAGTCGAGGTTGCAGGAGTCAAGATCAATCAAACGAAAGAGAACTCGCTTAAGAATCTCCTCTAGTGCTTCACATTGATGAGCGTCCAGTTGTTCGCCTGATTTTATTATTTGTCCAGTACGAGAAGTAAATAAAAAGAAATAAAAAATATCATCATTAGAATTGATTGCCATCTAGAAGTAGCAAATTGGCTTTGTTTAATGGACACTGCATTAGTGAAGACAATTTTATTGTCGCATTGGGGAAAAACAAGATAAATGTCCATCAAGAATATACACAATCACACTGTCAGCAACACTAAAACCTGCACTGAATCTTTTTAATTTGTAACCGACAAAAAATACTTTATGAAAGATTTTCTAACTTTTTAAACTTGATTTACGACTCAAAATGAAATGAAAATGCAAATTTTATGCACTGGACACAAAAAGCTTGCAAATCTACAAATAGCGACCGCTGGTGCAGGCCACAAATATGCTGAATTGACAAACAAAAAGTGTGTTCTTCAGTAAACGTCACTGCTTGCATTTTTTTGCAGTCAGCAGTTTGCATAATATGCACACAAAGAATTAATTGAGCGAACACAACAGATTGACTGGATGAACAACAACTTTAAAGGCAAAAGTAATAAAGTCAACAAGGCGGCAGTGGCAACAGCAGCAACAACAGCTGGCACGACCATCACCACAACCAACAAAGCGGTAAGGTCAGAGGCGGCAATTAGAAAGCACTGATGGCAGTGATATTGATTGCCAATTTGTTCGCTCAAAGAAAAAGAACTCACAACAAGATAAAAATAGCGCACAAAAAAGTTAATGACCATCTATTATCATGAAGCAGAGAAAACCGAGTTAACGATAAACGAATTTTTCAATGAAACCACCAATCGAATCATAAATCATGTTGCCGTCTTATCTAGAAGGAGAAAGCTATTGACCAAACCTGCCCACACTTCTGCTAGTTGTAAACAACTCAAATTGAAACCAATTTGGTGTAATCGGTGAGCAATGATGGCCTACAATAAATAACTTGTGAGTTTGCGCAATGTCATTAGCATTTATGGCACAACCACTGTCCCTTCTGATAAGTGAGCCTTGTTAAGAAATAGTCTCTAGCGTAATCAATAGAATGGTCAGGGCTGCTCAAAAAATGACCGGTCTCTGCACAAAATGATGAAAATGAAGACACGAGTGACTTGCACCGGAAATATGCATGATTTCAGATTAAATCAGCAACTAGTTAAGCTGTATGAAAAACATTGAGTTATTAAAAGGTATTATAAGTGATTCTGTAATGAGTAAAACCTCATATTGGTCAATTTTTCTCTAGTTGGTTGCATTTGCAGGTCAGTAGTTTTGGATAAAACAGTGTTACAAATGCAAAAAGTTTGTTTCTATTTAAAACATGCACAGAATTATTAATTTTTTGCTTGAATTTTTTCATTTATCTACATTTGATGCATGTTTACACTGCCAACATGATGTACAAACTTTTCATTGCCAAACCAGGCAGAAAAAGAATTCTCTACCAATCTAGCCGGCCTTGCCTAAGTGTTCCGGTTGCCGTTACAGTTAAAGTGTGTCTTCTGTTGAGTGACCACTTTTCTTTAATTCTATTAATGTTCTGTAAAAAACAAATTGCACTTACAATCGACTTTTTGTTGTCATTAAATTTTTATTTTAAAAAATTATATTTTGTTGTTTCAGTATCTTTATTGTTTCAGTATCTTTATTATAATACCTATTTATTTTAGAAAATTAACCATTACAAAACTTTAATTGTAACAATCATTTTCCTACTGTTTTATTATAAATTTCAATTGATTTTTATTATTTTGCAACAAAAACACACAAAACTAGTTATGAACAGAAGAAAAAGTCAATTAATTTTATGCTCAAAAAATAATTAAATTTACTATTATTAAAGAATTAAGTTAAAAAATTGTTTAAAAACGTTTTAACAGTATTATATTTTCAAAATAAAACATTTTAATACTATTTAAAATAATGGCAATAACATGAATTGTTGGCTAATTTACTGAAAAGTGCGCTGCACTGCGATGATTTCCCAACGTGAATTTTTCAAAGAAAGCAGCTGGCGAGTATACTTGGGCGGGCGGGAAATATAAATATAAATGTAAATCAATCAT